TTCTGCGGGTGACGAGGTGGTTGAAGCAATTACCAGCTTCAGCGTGCCGGGTGGAGTCATCCCCGCGGAAGGCTGGGAAGGGAGCCACAGAAAGGCAGGGGACGCAGACAGCCGTGAGGGCGGCGGCGAGCCGGACGGCACATCTTGGCGATGGAGTAACGTCCCGGCTCACTGCTGGCCCTGGCCCTTGAAGTGATCTGCCGCATGCCGCATGCCACTGCGCCGCAAGCGAAGAGCGGCACATCTAACACTTTGCTTCGCACGGCAGATGGTAGCAGTATTCGTCAATGGGTGCGTGCAGCACAGCTACGGCGGCGGCGGTGGTGGTGGTGGCTGTTGCCTTTGGCCTCTGTTGCTGTGGGCTGCCATGAATAGTGAGAGTGATATGCAGTTTTTTATTTGTTGTTGAGTTGCTGGAGTAGCTGCTCTCTAGGCCTTTGCATGCCAGAATTGTTTTTGTCGGTGTTTGTTGGGGGTGAGGTGTTTATTATTATTATTATTTAGTCGTTGTAGTCCCAACTTTTTATAAGGCTTGCTTCGGTGTATTGCCTGTTGGCAGCACCTTTGTTTCTTTGGTGTTGTGGGCTATTCATTTCTGCTTCTATTGCGGTTTACGGGTGCGTGTGAGGTGGGTAGGGAAGATGCTTTTGAAAGGCGGGCGTCCCTCGGTGTCGTGTAACGGGATGAAGCAGACGGGGGTTCAACTGACGCAATGCGTCATTCCGGATGACGACGACGCGCGTCGTGTGTCCATAGTTTACATTGCGCAGATGTACTGCTCGGATATCTTGTTTCCAGCCGGATCGCCCCCAGCAGTGGCTGGATGCCCCGTTTTTAGTGAGTCCCGCGGCAGCGATAGGAATGGGTTTTGTGCTCTCAGCGAAGGTGCAGCGTCGAAGGAGCTGTGCGTGGAACGTCTCGCGGGCGGCATCACGAATGAATTATTCCGCGTGTACCACCCTGGCAACAACGCCCACTCAGTGGTTGTGCGTGTCTTTGGGAAGGAGACGGAGCGCGTTATCACGCGTGAGAGCGAGTTTTTCTACCAGTCCTTCTTTATTCCCACCTACGTGCGTGGCAGAAATTTCCTCATCTACCAATTTCTCAACTGCTACCGGGCACTGTCGTTCACAGAGCTCTCACAGGAGGCAAGTAAAATGGCCTGCGAGGTTGCGGCATTTCAGGTGCGGGCCACGCTAGAGGCCAAATGTGACCATCACAACCCACAACTCTCGGAGGAGGAGCGGGCATACTGGAACGCCGTGGGCCCCACCCTCGGGGGCGGCCACGCTGCGGTAACCGACGTGTGCCGATTCGATCGGGAGGAAAATTACACCCTGCACGCGCTGACAAGGTGGACGGAGCAGATGCTGTCAGAGGGGGTGCTCAGTAAGGTGTGCGCGGGGAAGCGGGCGGACTACGAAAGCGTCGCCAGGCAACTGAAGCAGGAGGCGTTGTGGGTGCGGAACCTGCTACTTCGCCACGCGGCCCTTCTTGGGGAGAGTGTCTGTCACAACGACCTCCTTGGCGCGAACATCATGCGACACAGCGAGAGTGGTGCTCTTAAAATAATTGATTTTGACTACGTGAAGCGAAACTACTTTCTCTTTGACATTGCCAATCACTTCAACGAATACGCAGGGCTGGAGTGCGACTATGACAAGTATTTTCCTTCCGATGCGGAGATGTCGAGCTTCATCGGGGTCTACAGAAAGGCAATGCGTGCGGAGCTGCATAGACATCGTGAGGACGCACGTGGCAAGCAACTAGAGGAGATCATTCCAGGGGAGAAGCACTTCTTTCTGTGTGAGACTGACAATGACGAAGAGGAGGCAACCATTGCATATTGGGTGCGGCTTGTCAAGCTTCTTACCTTGGCATCGCATCTCTCTTGGGGCATTTGGGCATTGCTCCAGGAGGCGGTGTCTGCATTGGAGGTCGACTTCTTGCTTTACGCTAAGTGCAGGCTGAAGCGCTATGTTGAAACAAAGGATACATTTTCTTTGGGGTTCCGCTGAGCGCAGGCGGAAACACATTGCACACACACATATAAACAAAAATTGTGTCTGTTTGAAACGTAAAACACTTTGCTTGTTCGTACTTTTTTGTTTGTTTTTTGTAGGCCTTGCACTTCTCGTGCCCCACTCTCTTGTGTTGTTAATTTTATCGTTTTCTTTTTTGTTGTTTGGTTTCTTCAAGCGCATGTGTTGGCTGCCTTTTGGGTTTGCTTTTTTTTTGCTGATTCATGCGTGTGATCCCTGCTTTTAGTGGTTGTTGTGGCCTGCGTCTTATGGCCTTTAGCTGGTGGTTGAGGGGAGGCAGGGGATGAGACGGAGGTGCAGCGCGTGTTCTGCTATTTCCGACTCTAGACGTGGTGCGTTGGCTGATTCAAGCACGAGAGTAAGCAGCAAGGAGGAAGAAGGAAGTAGAACGAAGTAAAGAGGTGTGCGTGAGGGGAAAAGACGGAAAACGATGGAGTCGGCGCGCAAAATTATGCATGCGGCTTGCAAACAAAAACTAAAACAGAAAGAGATAACTAACCGAAGGCAAAAACGGACGCACAAATTGTAGGTATTGGTGAGATACTTTTATTGTGGAAATGATGTGGGGCTGTTGGCGGGCGAGAAGGTTGTGGCATGTAACGTGGGTTGGCCCCATGTTCCTGCCTGTGTGTCACCCTATCAAAGTCTCACCGATTTGAACAAGCAAAAAAGAATAAAAAGTAACATGCTTCACTGCGTTGTGTGTGTGTGTGTGCGTGCGTGTATGTGCGTCCTGTATCTTGCGGTGTGCTGGTGACATGGCTGAGTTCTTGACAATGTCTTTTTTGTGACTTTTACCACATCACTTTTTCACGTTTTGGACTTGTTCTCCGTGACTGTAATGTCGCCGGTTTCATTACTTTTGCCCCCTTAAAAAAAATTTTTTTTAGGGGGCTTGCGCACCGAACGCGGAAAAACATTATTTTCCTTGTTTCTTCTGTTCTTCATGCGACAACCCCCCCACCCCCACCCCATCATAAGCCGTTGTCTTGGACAGTGGGTTAATTTCGTTTTGCTATTGTTTTGCGCTGCTTCTCCGCCTCATCTCGGCTTGGAATAAGGGTTGTGGGCCTTGCGCGAGGGGGGGGAGGAGGAGGAGACTGCTTGCGACGAGGGTGTCAGGGTTTCCACATGTTTGAAGGTGACGTCGGCGATGTGTGTGCCGTCGCAACGGAAGTGGATGTGGCCCACCTCCTCGCAGCGGCGGCAAACTGCCGTGATGGGTCGGCTGTCGTCACGGTCGAGTTGCGGCTCCGACATGTCTCGAGCGATTCGCACGCGGGGTGGAGTCGGCGGGAAAAGGACATGCTCCTGTTGTGCCTTGACCGCGCTGTGCCGCGTGTGTACCCGCCGCTTGACCCGCTGCAGTACACGCAGGCCTTGCCGGAGTTTCTCTTGGAGGATGGCGTACGTGTGGTGCGTCTGCGCATCACGCCCTCTGCGCGGTACTCTTTCTCCGCCCCGGTCCTCCACCAAGTAGAGGGCAACTGTCCGAGGCCGCGGTTTACACCGTCGGACACCACAAACAATTACGATGCTCTTGTTGCATCGTCGGTGGCGGGGCAGTGTAAGGAAGATGAGGATGCGGCCGTATTCATGCGTCGGCGTTGGAGGAAGGCTGCATGGATAACAGCTCGCGTCTTTAACGAGGGCAGTTGGTATGCTGCAGAGCAAGGGTCTATCAAGGTTGCCAACGAGGCAGTCGGTAGTAGTCACAATGATGTCAGCAACGCCAGCATACTCGACGCCGCTGTGCGCTTCAAGGAAAAGCGTCTTCTTCACGTGGACGTCTTTGGAATGGAGTTTGTTGGGCTCATTGTGGCACTCACGTCGCGATACGCGTACGTCGCAGTTCCATTTCCCCAAGATGGGCAGTCTACTCCGCCATGGTCGCTTGTCAGCCGTGTGGGGATACCGTCTATGCTGGCTGAAGCAAGGGCAACGCTTACACGAAAGCGTGAGAGGGGCGAATGTGCAACAGATGGTTTTACACCTTTTATAAACGAAGAAGAGTTAGTGTCGCACGATGTGAGACCGTTAAGGCGTCTCCCGCCCGACCAGTGTGTGCGGGTGGTACTGCGGGCGCATAAGGTGTACTGCAAGTATCAGCACCCGATGGTAGGTGGTCCGGCCCCGTTTTCTCTTGCCTTTGAGGATGTCGCCGCTCTTTCTTGTGCTGTAGTGGAGGATCAGGCGAAGTTACTAGAGTCTCTTCCGACGTATTTGGACCTTCTGAAGATTGTGTGTGCAAGCTGCGCGCGGTTTCTGCGAGGCTACATCAAATACATGGGGGCCTCCGCCAACAGTGCTGAGGAGCGGCTATTCACTTCACTAACCGACACCGTCTCTGTTCACATGAAAAAGTTGCGCGGAAGGGAGGGTCAACCACCCGTGATGGTTGCATCACCGCAGGAGATTCCATCGCTTGTGGAAGGGACGTGTGTTGAGTTCAAGGCGAAGATAGATAAGTGGCAGGACGGTGCAGACGCCGTTTCTCCAGGGCAGCCGAAACGGTCCATCGTGAACTTGGAGCGTATTCGGCACACTGTCGCTGCCATGGCATCCACGCTGGGCGGTGTCCTCCTTGTAGGTGTCACCGATGATGGGGAGGTGATTGGCCACGCTAGGGGTGCGCTGAAGGAGTTACGTCTCTCCGGTTTTTGCCCGGCGATGGTAAAGGGCGGCGTTATGGTCACTGAGATGCGTGCGGTGAGGGGGGAGCCTGCGATAGCAATGCCAAAAGACTGGTGGAAGGCGACTAAACGGCAGCCGCACGAGCAGCTGGCAGTGGAGAGCACGACGGATCGTGTCGTGACCGTCGTCACGGTGGGACGCGGGCCAGCGCCCTTTTACGCACCGTCGCGTCATTCCGTTCCGTACATGCGGGGGTTTGCCAGCACAGTCCCGCTGCATGTTGTCGTCTGCGCTCGGCGCATCGCGGAGCTCCTGCCGTAGTTCTCACCGGCGTCTTGAGAGGCGTGAACCGAGCCCAATGTGCGCGGCGAGCAACGTAAACACGCATAAAAGGGTGACGGGGGTAATGGCAACGGACGAGAGAGGGAGGGAGAAGGGAATAAATGGGCGGCGATGCGCAGAAACGCCTTTTTTCTCGTCAAATGCACCCTCCTTGGACTCTCCGTACATGTGCATCTAAAGTAAATGCTTCTGTTATTGATGCCGCCCTCGCATATCTCTGACAGTTGACGCCGCGTGCCTCAGCAATGCACCGGATACTTTTAAGCTGCGTTTCCCGTAGTTTTTCATTGTTTTTTTTTGTTTTTTGATAGTTGTGAATTGGGCTGAATTATGCTTTTGCTTGCTACTGTTCTGCTTCTTTTTTGCCAGCTGCGCTGGGCCGCCCACACTTCCACCCGCAGTGGGGGAAAAACGACGAGTGAAAAGCAGCGCACACAGCCGCACACATAAAGCGAAAGAGCAAAACGAGGAAGGAGAGGCGGTGCAAGAACAAAAGGAAGCAAAGCAAAGCAAAACAACAACAACAACAACAACGCCGGCACACCCTGTTAGTTTGGCTATAGGCAGGCACGCATCTTAGAGGTGGTCATGTCGTTCCTAAGAGACCTTTTTCACCGCGAAACGCCGCAGGAGGCGATGCGGAAGTACAAACGCGGGCTTGATCGCACCATTCGCGATATCGATCGTGAGCGCAACAAGCTGCAGGCGCAGGAGCGCAAAATTGTTATTGATATGAAGAAGATGGCGAAGCAGGATCAGATTGATTCGGTGCGCATCTTGGCACGCGACCTGGTGCGTACACGGAAGTACCAGCAGAAGATGTACCGCATGCGTACCCAAATACAAGGCGTCTCGCTTCGGATCCAAACAATGCAGTCCACTGGGCAGATGGCAACGGCGATGAAAGGCGTGACCAAGGCCATGCGTAGCATGAACAATAGGATGAACATTCCCGAGATGCAGCGTGTCATGCGGGAGTTTGAGAAGCAAAATGAAATGATGGGAATGAAGGAAGAGATGATGAACGACGTCGTCGACGACGTGATGGACGATGATGGCGAGGAGGAGGACGAAACGGAGCTTGAGATCCAGAAGGTCATGGATGAGGTTGGATTGGAGTTCAAGAGCAAAATGGGCATCACGGACGCGTCGTTACCAGCAAGGCAGCAGGAGAATGAGGATGATGATAAGGAGCTTGAGGCTCGTCTTGCAGCGTTGAAATCCTCAATGAAGTGACTTGGCGGATTTTGTTTCTCTGTCCTTGCGTTTGTTGCCGATCTGCACAGTTATTATGGTGGAGGCCACTTGGCTTCATCTCTTTCCCCTCACCATGTTTTTTTTTTTTTCTTATTCCTCTCTAACCTGTCTTTCTAACTGGAGTGCAGCAGGCCACATCAAACAGAAAGCTGTGCGCTATTTGTCGCGGCAGCCAAGGGAACGCAGTTAGTTCTCTCGGTTTGCGTCTTTGGGGTGTGTGCGCGGGGTCGTCTTCTTCTTCACTCACAGGACTTGTTGTTATTTATTGCCGCACTTGCGTTCATCTCGTTGAGTTAAAGGAAGTAGCGAGACTCTGCTTCCTCCGTGTCGTGTACAGGCGGTGTTCGGCAGCGCCCGCAGTTGAAACAAACACGTCACACAGTGGGGAAGGCAACAAGCAACTAAGTAGCGCACTAAAAAAGGAGGAAGGGGTGATAATACACACACGTACATATATATATATATATAACAAAAAGGAAATAGAAATAAAAAGGGAGTGGGGGGGGGGGGTGTAATGGCTGCAGCAACGGAGAGTGTGTTGGACCTCAATAAGCGGTGGTACGAGCGGCCACTGCCGTTGCGCTCCTGTAGCTTAAAGGAGGTCGCAAACAGTGTGGTGACAAAGGATGAGATGGATGCGATGTTCCGTGAGGCACAGGAGGCTCTTGATGCTGAAACGGCGCAGAGTCAAACAGACAAAGGACGCTGGTACAATTCCCAGTTTATTTTGCGTGGAACAACCGCGGACAAGATTGCCTCTGCTGCAGTGAAGCTGAGCGACGTGGATTTCATGTTTTTCTTGGACGGCTTTAACCTTCTCTTTGACACTGCACGCACCGACACGCACCACTACGAGGCAGCTCTCAAAGCCCTTGCTGTGGTATGGCCCAAACTTTTGCCTCATCGTCCACTGAAGCGCTTTGTAACGCAGTTTTTCACGACTCTTCCGACAGATGCAAAGGGACGGAAGACAGTACTGGTGTACTGGTACATTGAGGACTACTTAAAGCGTACCTACGCCCAGTTTCTTTCGCTTGCAGAGGCCATGCTGAAGGACAGACTGCAGAAGCGACGAGAGGCGTGGCTGGATGTTGTAGGGAAACTTATGTGTAGTATTGCAGAGGGCCGACATGTGGCGATGGCGCTGATTGTGGATAAACTTGGTGATCCCGCCTCTTGTGTGGCACACAAGGCATACCATCATCTGCTTTCCCTTCTAAGGGAGTCTTCTACCCACCAGACGATGTTGTTTGTGGAGTTGGAAAAGGTCATATTTATGCATAACTGCCCTGTTTCTACGATGAAGTATGCCGCCAATGTTATGAATCAGTTTGTGTACACCAAGGATGAGCGGAAGCTTGCCCTGAAGAGTGTTCAAACGTATCTTGCTCTCTTTCGTCAACTTGTGAGGAACGCCTCTGTGGATCTTTCCGTGACAACCGCCATTCTCGTTGGTTTACGTCGTGCTTTTCCTTACGCTGGGACAGACATTGCACCACTCGAAGAGCATTTGAGTGCGCTTTTTGTGCTTGCCAACACGGGTAATTTTGTACAGCGTGTGGCGACTCTGTCGCTACTGCAGCTTATAGCCCATGCAAAGGGTGCAACGGTGGAGTTTCAGAATCGTTGGTATCGGACGCTGTATAATTTATTGTTAATCTCACCGAAGCAGCTCTCACACTCTACACAAATGACTGGCTTCTTTTCGATGCTGCACAAGGCGCTGCGTATGGACAAGAATGAGGAGCGATTGGCAGCCTTTGCGCACCGACTGATACAGCGATCGTTGTACTTTGACGAGTCTGTGGTGTGCGCTATCCTGCTTCTTGTGGGTGAGATGTTCCAGGCGCATCCACGTCTGCGCGCGCTGGTTCTGGGGGCGCATAAAAAGTCCTTAGGTGCTGAGACGGAGCGTTACGATGTACGCTGCCGTGAACCGCAGTTTGCACGCGCCAAAAAGGAATCCCTGTGGACTCTTGGTACACTTGCCCGACACTCTCATCCGTCGGTTGTGAAACTGGCAGTGATGTTGATGTTCAATGAGGACGTTGTCTTTGATAGCCACCCGTTAGATGAGCTGACATTGCCTAACTTTCTCACAATGTTTGTTGACGCCCGGGCACAGCCAAAGACGGAGGAGGTTAGCACAGGGATGTCGGTATTCAGTCGTGTGGTGCAATCCCCTAATATTCCTAGTGCCTCGGACCCATACTTTATCAATGCAAGTGCGCAGCAGGTGGATGTATCTGCGCTTTTTATGCACCGCTACGCCGTTCAACGCCAGCGATTTATTGACGGATTGTCGCAGGTTCGCTCTACGTGGGGTGACGCCAGTGGGGAGGCGGATGTGGCGCTGCGTGTGAAGAACGTTGACGCCTCGCTCTTTGGGCCCTCTGGCATCCTAGGGGAGGCCATAGCGACGGTGAGCGGAGGCGCCAGAGGCGACGATGCCAAGGTGGAGAAGAAGACACGGTCCAAAAAGGAGAAATTGCACGCCTCGAAGGCAATGGAGTTGAATGAGGATGTGGTGAGCGACGACAGTGACGGAGGTGACAAAGACAGCCAAGGCAATGACGACGACGACTTTGATGTTGTCGGAAGTGAGGGCGACCTGGAGTGGGGCAGCAACGACGAGGCGGCGTACGATGACCTGGACAATGAGGAGGAGGAGGAGGAAGAAGACTGCAACGAGGAGGATGATGTCGTTGGTGAAATAACGCTGGGTGGCAAGAGGGCCTCGGATGACCTGGACGGTGGCGATCTCGCCGAACTGCTCGAGTCGAACCGCAAAGGCATGTCAAAGAAACGGCGGCGTGCAGAAGAGTGGCTTGACCGTGCCACATCTGCGTCTGCGTCGCCGCCGTCGCAGCGAACGCGCTCTTACCGCCCCCGCGCAAGGTGATGGCGTGGAGTCAGTGAGAGGAATCTGAGGCAGTTGGTGTGCTCACCTTTGCCTGGTTGCCGTTGCCGCCGCGCTGCCTCCTGGAGTTGTTGCTTCCACCCTGATAAGTGGCGCCGTCCCCTTCCCGCTGCAGTTAGCACAACCTGGAGGCAATTAGATGGCATGAGGTGACGAATCTGCGTGTTGCAAGAAGGGGGTAAACTCAGCAATGAGTGTGTGAGGCTGCTGCTGTTAGTGCTACGGCAGAAACAAGAATACGAAGGAAAATGAAAAAAAGAAAAAAGAAAAAAATGAGATTAAATAAACGCGTCGGTTAATTCATGAATTCAATGACGTACTGTGGGTCCGCTTGACTTGTGACACATTCTCGTTATTAATGTTGATTCCTTTGTTGATGCTGGTTATGCCTCAAGTTTCTGGTTGCCGTACTCCATTGGAGGATTGTGTGTGGGACGTTACCTGCTGCATTTACGATTATTATATTTATCATTCTGTTTTATTTCCTCTATTTTATGCCCCTTCTTTTTCTGTTACCTTAACCCCTCTTATTACAAACACATTTGCATGTTTGTGTGTGTTTCAATGGGTAAAAGCATTCAACAGTGTCTGTTTTTGGAGCAGTTCATTATTTGCTGTGTGGAGTAGTCGTTTCTATTGGTTTACCATTTGCCGCACGTGTGATTTTTTCTTGTGCGGTATGCCGCTTGTTATCCCGTCTGCCCGTGCGCAACCAGCGCTGCCGCCGCCCAACCAGGCGAACTGCGAGTTGCTTGGACGTCTCATGAAGCTGTATCGTGCGCTCTGCGTGCGTCACGACGAGTTGGGGCAGGAAATTATCCTTAACGACATTTTGGCGTTCCTAACACGCAATCACCAGCACGATATGGCGGAAAGTGTCATTGCCACCTGCGAGCTCAGCCTTCCGCATCGCTCCAACAATCAAGCGGCACGGTACTTTTACTACGTCGGACTCACACGCGCCCTTAGGCTGGAATACGTTGATGCGAATCAGTGCCTACAGCAGGCGCTTCGAAAGGCGCCTGAGCGTGCATTCGGCTTTCGCGTCGCGGCAACCAAGCTTGCTCTTGTTGTTCAGTTACTACTAGGTGAAATTCCGCCCCGCTCGGACTTTTTGCAGAAAGATGTGCGGGAGAGTCTTTCACCGTACCTGCAACTTGCTTCTTGTGTGCGATTTGGGCAGTTGAGCCGATTCATGTCTATATTGCAGCAGCACAAGAGCATCTTTGAGCACGACCGCACCTATTCCCTCATTTTGCGGGTACGGCAGCATGTAATTAAGACGGGGTTGCGCCGTATTTGTCATGCATACAGCCGAATTAGCATATCTGATATATGCACGAAGCTTTCCATGGAAAATCCTGGTGATGCAGAGTATATTATTGCCAAGGCCATCCGCGACGGCGTCATTGACGCGGTCATTGACCACGAGAAGGGTCACCTCATCAGCAGCGACACTGTGGATGTGTACTCCACGTCTGAACCGCTTATGGCCTTACAGCGTCGCATTCAGTTTCTCAATGTCACACACAATGACGCCAAGCGATCGATGCGTTACACCGCAGCTGATCCTGAGCTTGAGGAGGAGCGGCGAAAGCTGGATCGCGAGGAGTTGGATTCCGTTTTGCGAGCTGCCTTGGAGGAGGAGGAACTGGGTGGGGCCGATTTCGAGGATGGGCTGCCGTAGTCGGTTTCTATAGGACGTGTGAAGGCGGTTCAGGTGCTTCACTGCGGTACACTTCAGATGCCCCCAACGTCCATGGGCGACGCTGGGTGCGGTACAAGAGCGGGGTGGTGGTGTTTATTTACGGCACCAAAAAAAGAAAAGCAAATGAAAAATGGACGTGGAAGAGTGAAAGGAAAATACGGAGAGGAAAATGCAGCAAAGCAAGCGTCCGCCAGAAGAAATATAACGTGTTCTTGTCTTGCTTCATTCGTTTTACAGCTTCTCCTTGCGGCACTATGAGACCCTACGACATCGTCGCTGGGGCGTGCATGTGTCTTTCTGTTTGCCCGGTGTCAGGTGTTACCTCCGCACGCGTGTTTGTATTGCTGTCATCGTCGGTTTGTTCGCTTGTTTGCTTTTCATATTCTTCGATTCTCCCTTGTGCGGCGCACATACATAAAGAGAAACAGAGAGAAAAGAAAGAAGTTGTTGGAAAACAATGAATGTGAATTCACCAAGTAGTGATGTTCAACAAACTCAACAGAAGCGTAAGAACCAAGAGGAGGGAAAACACGAGCTGAGCAGTGGCTCCTTCAGCGCACCCACAAATGATGGCGCGATGATATCGCTAGCGCCGCTCGTCTCTGTGGCCCCTCACTCGGGGACATTGGATGCATCCAGCAGCAGACGCCGCTCATCCACAGCTCCTGTTGTTTTGCTAAGCACCGCCGATGTGGACCCTGCATCCTCGTCCCGCTCCACACATATCTTACGGAGGGAATCCAGACGCGGCAGCCTTCGCATCAGAGGTAGTGTCCCAGAGAGTCTTGACAGGGCAGTCGATATGGTTAGAACGTACCCGCTTATGGTTGTCGAGGGTACCGCATTTGAAAATCAGTTTTTTCGAGGCGGCTCCGGGGATTGTACGATGTTGAATTCCATGGGATCACTCACTTCGCTTTCAAATGTAGAAGACGCTGAGACGTCTGTCTCTGGTTTGACGGATGTGCTGGGTCACCTACGTTTGAACAGCAGTGTAGTTTCCTTTGCGTCGCGGCTAAAGCGGGCATGTATGTGGAGCGTGATTATCCTTGCCGTACGGGTGCATTGCGCCTGGCGTGAGGCCTTTCGTCGGCAAGTTCTTCGTGCTGCGCTGGAACAGCTACTGTTGCCTATAATTTTGCAGAGGCGTGGAGAAAATGGGGTGGCAAAGCGGATTTTTCGTCGGCCGCACTGCATTGGGCCGGAGCTCTTACGTGACGATGATGGCTTAAATCCACAAGGGAATTTTATTTGGGATAACTGCGAGTTTTTTCGTTCGCTGGGAAGCCAAAGTTTCTGTGAGGAGCTTACGAAGGTTGTTCTTCGTCACCGGCATTTCAGTGGGAATGCGATTGTGTCCGTCGGCGCGCCCTCGCAGGACGCCATGCACATTCTTGTTTCCGGTAGGTGTGACGCCATCACTCCTTCCAGCGAGGCGAATAACAAGGTGCAGCGGTCAAGGCTGGCGGTGGGTGCTAGTTTCGGTGGCATCTTCGGTGGAAGGGAGGTGTACACCAAAGTCTACAGAGCTATCTCGCAATGCGTTGTCTGGGTGATTCCGCGTAACGACTTTGAGGTACTGTTTTCCAGGTATGCTGACAACGCCATGAAGGAGATTTACCTCAACGCGCTGAAACGACACCACATGGAGCGTTTGTTGCGTAGTTATCCTCTGCCTCAGTGTATGTCACGTGTACCAATCTACCGCCATATCGATCGGGAGATTGAAGATTACGCAAAGGATTTCACACCGTTAGTGTTAACTAAGGGTGACGTTCTATTTGAGCAAGGGGAGCCGCCTGGTGACGTCTACTGCCTTCTTGAGGGTGAGGTTCAACGGCAGCAGCTGGGGGCCGACATGACGTACGAAGGTGGTACATCACAGATTCTGTCTCCACATGAATCAGACAACAAATTCTCCCTCAGCACACGTTTTTTGCTCCTGGGTGAAGAGCCGCACATTTTACCGGCGCCGCTGCGGTACAAATGCTCAGTTTTTAGCCGTTTCGCCCTTTTTTTCAAGGTCAAAGGAGACCGCTTCGTGGATGCCCTGTTGGACGACGCCAAACTCTTTCTTCGCATCCGGGCAAATCTGACGGCGCAGATACGGTCCTCGATGCGACTCTCCACAGAGGCCCTCGTCAGGGTCCCGCTGTTACGGGAAATGTCGGGGTCTCACCTTCACAACATTCTGAATGCCGCTGAACCGCGTGTCGTGGAGCGGTACACCTCAATATGTGAACCCGCACAAGCCGTTCGGGAGATTTATCTGCTGACGGCCGGCGAAGTGCAGGACCCCCGGCAGTTCAACCGCGTAGCGACATTGCCAATGTCGCCCCCCGCCTCGGAAGAGGAGGAGGCCCCAGAAGACACACACCCAAAAGGCAAAAAAGAGAGGAACCCTAAACACATCTTCACAGGACAAGAAAAAGGAGGGAAAATGCCTACCTGTCCTCGTCCGCACGAAACCGTGGTGATTGGGCGGATTCCTTTCCGGGGGGACTCTGAATTGACGCCCGTGAGCCTCGGCACCCCACATTCTCAATGGAGTTTCTTTCAGGGTAACAACCACGGTGACTTTACGAATGGCATTACTTACCCAGACGAACAGCATGACCTTGCGCCGGCGCTGCCGCCGAACCCTGCAAAGAACTTTCTTTGCACTGTTGGTGGTGGATGGGAAGGACTCCTTGTGGAGAAGTGGCCGAATGGATGGGAGACGAGCACTACTGTGGAGCTTTGGGCCATTCCAGCCTTGACTATACGGACCGAGTTTAACTCTTTACCAGATTCTCTACAAAAGTCAATTCTTTTGTGCGCCCGCACAATGCAGATGCATGCCCTTGGTTTGTCGTCCATTGTGGTGGCAAAGCTGCCGCCCATGAGTGTCTTTGTGCCACCTGAAAAACGTGTCAAAAAAACCAGCCTGGTGCTTGAGAGGGGCCAAACGCAAGAAAAGAGTATCACAACCCACAAACGGAAATACGCTGCCAGTGGTCACTCATATGAACGCTCCACGCCATCTGGGAGTAGGCGCGGACGTGTCACCGGTGATCTCTCGAGATCGCATGCAAGTACACTAAGTGGGTCATCGCCAAGCTTCTTGGAGAACGAGGACATGGCCTTTTCCAGGAAAATGACTTCACAGCGGCGTGCGCTACGGCCCAGTCCATTATCCCAAACTCCATCAAAGAAAAGCCCAGTTTTCAGAAAGAAAGAAAAAAATGTAAAAATAGAGCCCAAAGACGCAGCTTCTAATGTGGACTTGGTGCCCACGGAGGCGCCAAAACCTAAAGCGGGGCCACCACCACTCCTCTTTCTTCGAAAGCTTGCCTCCAAGCTGGTAGAGAAGCCGCCCATAATTACCCGTGAGATGTGTGCATTATATGCTGGGCAGGAACCGCAGAAGGGTATTATCCGACAACTGCAACCAATAGCAAACAAAGTGGCAGGTGCAGCCAATAACGCTGTGACATTTGCCGACCAAAAACCCAGCTGGCCGGTGGCGTCGGGAGCGCAGAAGCAGTGGTTCCACGTGGTGCCAAGCTTTGCCCCTCTTCCAGGCACTGTCAACAATCATAACTACATCGGTAGTACGCCTAGCCTCTTGCCGAACACAGCATTGATGGTGAGGCGCGAGAAAGGCTACGGTGACGTGTTAGTCTCCCAAGCAAACTACTTTGTAGATCTCGCACATGCCAGGCGTGAACAAGCGATGAGGTCTGAATTAGCATCAGCGCCCTCTCCTGGTGAAGCAAAGGGTCTTCTTTTTTCAATGAGATCAGCTTCGCCGAATGCGATGGGCCGACCCGTTCCTGGGCGACACGCATATCGTTTGTGATGGAATAAAATAAAATAAAAAAGAAAGCGGAGGGAGAAGGGAAAAGGCGGGTGAAGCAAGGAACGCGCGGTGCTCTGTGGATGCATGTGTAGATGTTATGCTTGTTGTTCCTGGACGTTGATTAGGGGAGCGAATTGCGAGACAGTGAGTGAGAGTGGAAGAGAGAGAAAGCGAACGATGCCGATGTAAAATAATTTTCAGAATACACGCAGAAAAAAAAAAGGAGAGATAGAGAAAGGAAAGGTGCCGATATGTACAAAGGGAAAGGCCCCCCCCCCCCTATTAGCATTTGTATATAACTCAGGAGTCCTACGGTCCTTAACCGTTCTTTCTGTTTTGTTTAGCTTGTTGCTGCTGCTGTCATCGCTGTTTTGGTTGTTTGCTTTCTTTTTTTCTTTCCTCTCTGTTTTCTCATTGGGTGGTCAGCCTCCGCATGCTTGTATTCTATTCGGATTTCAACTCCTTATCCACATACACAAATACACGCCGCGCCCTGCTTGTCCAGTGGTCATCATGCTTGTTTGTTTAATGCTTCTGTTGTTGCCACGCAAATACCTTTTTTTTTTTTTGCTTCTTCATTTTACGGTTTCCCACAAAATGTCAAATGCCTCCGTGTGAGGACCCGTGCCTTATCGTCATCCACGGAAGGAGGAGGGGCATACCCGGTTTTCATGGCGGAGAAGAACTGGGCCTTGGGGGAAAATGGGGCCAAGGTGGTGGAGGTGTCACACGAGGCTGCCCACGTGGCAAGTGCCGCCTCGAATCTGCTTGTCGAGCACGAAGATCTGCTTTGGATCACCTCTGACGCGCCACAACATGTTACACTAAAACTGGCTCCGTCGCACCCGCCCCTGCGGTACGTGGGCTGGCACGTTTGGCACGACTACCTCACCAACCCGAAGACGGTGGAGGTGGCCTCGGGTGAGTCTGCCGACGAAATGGTGGCGCAGCTGGTATGTCAGGCCGTCTCTGGGGCTGGAACACAGGTGTGGAAGTTGCCTAATGCGATTCCCCCCAGCCATTTGTTTGTGCGTGTCACAATACTGGAGACCTTTGGTCCAGGGCCGACGTACATGAACAATGTAGTTCTTTTCGCCAACGATCCTGGAACCCGGTTTCGCGGTGATCGCACCACGGAGATGGCCGTCCGAAAAAGAACAGGGGACGCCGCAGCACCGATGAGTGTCTTACTTAAAGAGCTGGATAAAGACATCCGGGCGCTACACCCCATAAAGACAGTTTCGCCCAATAAAAATATGCTACTCTATGTCCGACAGGAACCCATTGCAGCCTTTCCACCCGAAAACGCAGAGAATGACGAATCCCCGTCACCGACCCTACGTGATTCTGCGGAGCGGCATGGAGGCAACGGTATGGACAGAGCTCCTCAGTGCGGTGTTACAGGGGGTCGATTAGAAGGTGTGATGGCTGGGCATGTGGCACAAGCTGGTGTTACGGCGGAGGTTTCACACAGGTTCAACGAACGCTTATGCGCACTGGAGCAGGCTGTCGCTTCCCTTACGCAAAGCATGAATCATCAACGAGAAGATTTGACCATGATTAAGCGGCTACTTCTCCAACAGGCTTCTGAACGGCGTCGCGAATTAGAGCAGAGACTTACTTCAGAACAGGCCTCGTCAGCGCAGCAGCAACTGCAATTGCGGCAAAGTGACACGTTACACCGAGTTTACCGTCAGCAGGTTTCCGTGGACTTTCCAGAGGATGCCCTCCGATCGTTTGTTGAGGCAGTTATAGCGCCAAAACTGCGCAAACACGCAAAACGCACTGAGGCGCAAGCTATAGCTAAACTAGATGAATTCTTGAAGGATATCGTTGCAGAGATAACCCTGGCGGTGGATGATCGCGTTCGGTTTCATCAGCAAGCGAGTTTAAATAATACTGGGAGGTTGCAGGATATGACGCCGCACAATTTTGAAAGTCGTGGGATGGAATCCATTGGTACTCCATCATGTTTTACGAAAACGTGTGCACGTTTGGGGGAGGTGGATTGCCGTGCCACACATCCCGCACCCGCCACTGTTCCTCCTCGCCCGCTGGCATCTTCTGCAGCGACACCGCCTGCGAGCAGTGTATGTAGCCGTCAAGGCAAAGATGCTGGAAGTGCTCCTGCATCAATTATTCGTGATGTTTCTTTAGAAACTGATTTGAGCTTTATTAGACGTGCGGGAGCAAACCACCGCTGAGACTCATAGGAGGTGTTATTTGTGTCTCTTATTGGTTCACTCGGAAGGTGATGCTTCTACCGCGCTGTGCCCTGCTAACACCTGCAGGGAAACTACTCTGCACCGAATTGATGTGCTGTGGGTTTTGTCAAGGTGCGTATCCATTGATGCCTAGAGAATTTCCACCCGGGTTGTATTGGGGCTAGCGATGTTTTGTTTCTCGCCATGTTATTTGCCTTTAAAGAGAGAGAAGACGAGAATGCAAACAAAAGGCAGAATAATTGACAAAAAAAAACACGTTGGTCTTTTTTTTTTTTTCTCTTGTGCGTCTCCTTGCATGCATGCGTATGTGTGTGAATGAGCGTGTCTACTTTTCTTGCTGGCGTGGTCGCCAACGGTTGGTGTCGTGTCGTCTCCAGAATGTGAAATTGCTGCCGTATTCCTTTTATATAGATGACGACACGTATTATTTTTTTTGTTGTTTTTAATGGTTCTTCCCCACTCTCCCGTTTTTTTTTTCCGCTGGCTGCCCTTCTAAATAGGTTTAAACATTATTTCTACCCCCCCCCCCCCCCCCCATGTTTGCTCTGTCTGGCTTAGAGCATTGTTTTGTTTTATTACGGCGAGTGTGAGGTTGTAGGAGTCGTGCAAGTAGTTTACACCGCAGAGGAGCCTCGGCGATGCAGTCGCAGCGAAACTCTATGATGTCGCGCGTGTGCCGGGGCAACACAGCTACGGCAACGCCCCTGCATTTTACCCCATCGCCATCAACCCTGGTTGGTGGGGGCAGCCGTTTGCAAAGGTGACGGACGGAAAGAGCCAAATCCTCCTTATGTACGGCATCATCTTTCCCTTTTCGCTGTATTAGATCTTTGACACTACCATTGCCCAGCGCACACGTGTAGGAAACGTGGGTAAACGGGCCTTGTACTCTAACACGTTTTTTAGGCAGCTGGACCTTGACGACCCGGACCACGCGATCAAGTACGAGAAAATGCGTGAGGAGGTGGCGGAGAGTAAGTTGGAGGTCCGATGGGGCGGGTCCAACTTTTTGGCAAGCTATCTCTGGGAGCTGGGAGATCCGCAACCGGATATTCACCGCCGAACTCCCCCAGAGCATCATTACTAGCGTTGTTGCATGCCACACGGCCACTGACGCCATGCAAGGAATGTGCAGAATTAAGGGAACAATAAAAAGGGGGGTTACATATATTGTATTCAGTAACGGCTGGCAATAGAGCAGGGGAAAAAAAATATTGGGGGTTGTGTTGCTTTGTGGGGTTTCAAGGTTCTGCTCTAGAAGCGACATAGAAGGGGTCAGCAAGAGTCAGGGTTGTGCCACAGGGGCCCATGTTTTGTCTCGGTATGCGTGTGTGTGTGTGTGTGTGTAGTGGACGGGGTCGACATTATGCCGATGCGGAATTGCTCTCGCTCACGACGAAGGTGTTGATATCGTGGCAATTAGTGCAAAAAGGGATAAAAAACGAAAGTAGTTATATTTGTTTGTATCCACAGGCGGAGAGGAGTTGAGTGTACTGAGCCAAAATAGGAATATGAAGGAGGAGGTACGTACTTGGATGGATGAATGTGAACAAGAGAGAGGGAGAGAGGAAGTGTGTGTGTGGGGGTTGTCAGTGTGTAGTTCTTAAATTGGTTGGCGAAGGAGAGTTGCATTTCAGAAGGAGCGTTTCAAGCTATTCTGACTTATTTATGGCTTTAGTTATATGACTAGGGACAAGGGGGAGAAATAGTTGGGAATTTGAGGGTAACAGCTGTGCGACTGTGGGTGTATCCTTGCTGTGTAAACACCCGGCTGTTGTTTTGTTTTGTTTTTTTCTTCTTCTTTAATTGCTTCTTTTTCTATCGACCAGGGAAGCGCTGATAAACATAGCTACTCTGCTACCGCTGCCGCCATAGCAACACTCATTGCCGTCTGAATTGCGAGTACTGCTGTTATCAACTCCGCCTTTCGCATTGGGGAGAATGCACCAACTCACTTGTGTGCTGCTGGTGTGCGTGACGTGCATGTACTGGGCGATGGCCATGTTGATTCTGCTGCTGCGCGTCGTGGATCCGCATATGCGCAGCGTGGCCCGCTACGGTGCTCGATATGGAATGGGTTCAGCCGCTGCTGATGATATTAATAACAACGGTTCCGCTGCGGCTGGGACGCGTACGGCCGTGTATACTAGCTGCAAGGCGAGGGAAAACCCCACGGATTACAGAGGTTGGCTGTGGAATAGTGTTGCGTTTGCTGTCAATGCGCTAGAGAGTTCCATTTTGTGTCGTGTCCGCGTAAGTCGGAAGTGCGGATTTTGTGTCTTTTACTTGACCGGTATGGTCTCCTCCCTACTGCTCTGGCAGCTGTGCATCATTCCGTTTCATACGACCACTAACACTTTGGATACACGTTTTTCAACATTCATGCCGGGGGGTTTGCTACGTGATGCAGCAGTCTGTTACGGGTTGCTGCCACTAGTGGCATTCTTTATGCATTGTGCCGTGCGCCTGTGGGAGTGTCTCTACGTTCACCGCTTTCGAGGTGGACCGCAGGATACAGTGACGTTGTTTGCCGCACTCGCGGGATGTTCGTTTTACGTCTTTGCTGTTATTTCTAGCAGCCCCGTTGTTTGCCGTGTCGCTCACGCAGTTGCCAGTAATCCTGCTGTGCCTCGCCCCTTGGGAGGTGTTGATGAGAGTCATTTTTCCCCTGTTGTCCCAGTAACGACTGTGGTTGCCTTTTTTTTACATTTATTCCTGCAGGGGCTGCAGGGGCTGCATCATGGCATTCTGGCAAGGATGCGGGATGCGCCGGCGCCTTCGTCTAATTCGTTCGAAGCGCCCGTTTTGGATGGGAAGCAACACGCTTATGAAGTGCGTCACAGTGTTGAGGCGTCAACCGAGACATCTAGTTTTTTTTATCGTTTCCCCAATACATCCCTGTTTGCCTACGTGCTGGAGCCGCACTACACCTGTGAGATTTTGATGTACGCTGTGAATGCCGTTAGCCTGTGGACATTGATTTTTAACGATACGGCGCCTATACTGACGGTGTGGCAGTCGAGAGGTGTGTACTGTGCACTGCTGCTGGCAACAAGTTATGCGGCGTCATTAGGGGTTGTGTTGTTTTCACTATTTAACCTTGCCATTACGTCCTCCGAGCACCGTCGTTTTTGGAGCCAGTTGAATGAGAAGCGAGAGCCAAAGGAACGAGTTCCGCCTTGGAATCTATTTTACCGTGTCTGGTAACAGCAATCTCTGCAGGGGTGCTATGGGGTTTGACCTCAGTGGAAGCGTAGTGGTTCCCCCGTAGTCTTTTTATTTTGACGTTTGTTGTTACTGTTGGTTGTGGGTTTTTTGTTGCTGATGACTTCATGGGTACTGAATTGGTTTTTCTGTCCCAGTTGTCTTGTTTGCATGGAGGCGCTGACGTGTGAATATGGTGCTGGCTGTTATGTTACCATGCTTAATTGTCTTTTTTCTTCTTCTTCTTCGTTTGCCTTTGCTGCGGCATGCACCATCCCACGCGTGCGTGTGTGACGGGTGGGTAGACCTCACGCAGTGTGCCTAATGCAGTATGCCGTCGGTTAACTCGGGGTACACCTTCGAGGACTTCCTCAAGCGCCTGGAGCGCAGCCCCGTCACGCACATGTCACCGCTCTATCATGAACACCGGGAGCTCTTCGTGCGTCGTCCCGACATGTTTTCACGCGCCATCGGCTCCATCACGTGGGAGAAAGGATGTGCGCTCATTGACGCGGCGTACCACTCGCAGCCCATCGCCGTCGTCACCTACCGTGCGCTACTGGCGCGGATGCTGCTACATAATCAGTACGTGCGACGCAGCGGCGCCGGAAGCTTGGTGCCCTGGAGCTCCGCCCTGCGAGCGTACTCCGAGGCTATTCTGACGCACGGCAATGTGGTTCCGACGCGGATGACGATAGCTGCGCTTCGTCTGTTGGCACCGCAGCGTCAGTGGGTGGCCGCTATCTCGCTCCTTAAACTCAGCCAGGCCAATGAAAAGCTGACAATCCCCATGCTTATTGACGCAGCTGGTTGCTGTGCGACTCCCTCGGCGTGGCAAACGGCCATGGCGCTGCTTGGGCACGTGCACGGGCAATCACCCAATCTACTTCCTGACTGTATTCAAAGCCTCCGACCCGTTGGGACAGATGCCGGGGAGGTCACTGCTGCCGCGAATGCATTGATGCCTGACCATAGAGGCCAAACCCCTGAGCAGAAACGTGTGCTTTCGGTTTTAACTGACGTGGTGGCTTCAGTGCCGTGGCAGACGGCCATGTCCAACGAGATGTGTATGTCGCATCTTTCACACTTAGTGGCAAGTACGACGTACACAACGCAGGAGAAAACTGAGGCGCTCATATTCGCAACGCGACAATTTCCATGGGAAGCATTCATGCAGCTTATGGTGGCTCACGACGCATCCATACTGGCGGCTTCAAGCAGCAACAGCAGCGCCCCATCACCGACATCGACCACAGTGGAGGGGCAACCACAAAAGTCGCCGGAGATGTCACCATTGAACTTGCCTGTTGTTAGGGAGAGTCTGCAACTGCTTGCAAAGGCCCCAGAAACGGCGGTTCCTTTTCTTGCCGCTATCATCGACAAGCTTCCCTCGGCCAAGACCGCGACAAGGTTTCTGAGTGAGGTGGCCTCCATGTATCGTGACACCCTCGTCACTGCGGTGCTGCGTCATCCACTTGTCATTTCTGCTCTGCTGCGGAAGTGTTCATCGGAGGCGGAGTGGCGCATCGCGTCTTCCGTGTTGCTTTCCATGTCGCCGAGCCCGTTGCCGTGTGAGGTGGCCAGTGCACTTGTACTACAGATGCGGGCGGCGAGGCAGCCCTCTTTGGTTGTAGACATTCTTCAGAAGTCTTTTGTACCGGCCAAGGTGACTTTGACAGCGGAGGCCATGGAGGCTGTGCTCGTGTGTGTGTTGGCACACAATCGCATTGTTGCTGCGTCGGCCGCGCATTCCGCGCCAGAGACGTTGAAGAGGAAGCAGATGGTAGAGGTCCATTGGCTCTCCGCACTGAGCTGGGCGACGGATTTGGTGCAGGATGAGGCGGAAGGACGTATTATGCAAACAGGATCTGCCGCTTCAGCAGGCACCGTGAGCCATTCCCCTTCCAAACCTACTCCACGTCAGAAACCTTTGTCGCCTCGTATGCTCAGCCTTCTTATTCACATATGCGTCAGCGCTGGTAACCCGCAGGGGGCTTTGCATGCGATGGGCTACGCCTGCGCCGTCGATAAGACCGAGCTGGCTCAGTCCGAGGCTATTCGAGCCCTTTTGTACTGCATGATGTACGACCGTCCATACGAGGCCGAAGCCATTGTGAAGGAGGCCGAGAAAAAGCACGGGAAGGAGCAGGCGCAATATCTCGAACGGTTACTGTTGGCCGTTCAGGAGAAGAAGCAGCAGGGGTCGGGCCCCCGGGAGCTCTAATTCCGTCTTTCTGTTTGGGTTAAAAAACACTGACTGGCACGAAAGAGAATGGGAATGATTTTCATCAGTGAGTGAAGAATTATGTGCCCGTGAGTAGAGTAAGAGCGGGAGAGGAATGTGATGATGGTGGTAAAGGGGAGAATTTTTGTTGCATCGTTGAATGCGCCTTTTTTGGGGCGGATGAGTTTGGCTGCTGTTGTGGTTGCTGTTATTGTGATTAATGTTATTGTAAGGAATCAAAATCAGCCGCATTCTTCCTTAACTAATTTTATGTTTTCCTTTCTAGCTGCCGATATATATATATATATATTAGGTGTGTGTTTGTCTGTCTGCATCATTACCGCAAGTGGTGCTTCTTTTCCTCTTTTTCTTTTGCTGCAATTGAGGGAGAGAGAGAAAAGGATCGCCCTCTATAAGGAGACGATTTGTTTATTTGCGTGGCGGCAGAAATAGCTGTGATTTTATTTTTTTTTCGGTTGAAGTTTGGTTGAGGGAAAGGAATATCAGGGCATTGCACACCCACACCCACACAAACACGCATACACGCTTGCTCTTGTGACCACTGAGAAAGCTGGGGTGGGTAAGGAAGGGGAAACACGACGCGAATACACAGCGACGGATACTACAATGAGCACGGAGCTGGCCTTGCAGCCGCGGAGTCCCATCAGTAATGAGGAGAAATGGGACCACTGCGTAGAGAACTTTATTCGTAAAACCACTCTGGGTCTTGCCGTTGGTGTGTTGCCGGCACTACTTATGTCGCGTTCTCTTGTGGCGCGTTCCTCTATCATTTTGTTCTCTGCCGGCGTTGGCGCCGGCATCGCGTACGGTGAGGCACGCTACCTCTTCGACCACAACGTTGTCTTCGACCGCCGCCACATAGTCCAGATAGAGTTGTTTACCCCAAAGCAGTAGGAGACAGATGTGACGAAGGCGTCGCCGCACCAGTTGTTTTGTGGCCAGGCGTGTGGAGCGGAGAAAATCTCCGCAAAAAGAAAATGAAAAAAAAGTCGGCAAGGAAACTTCAATACCTGTGTGCGTGCACATGGACAGACACATGCACACTGCCCCATCCGTTCCTCCCTTCGTACACGCCCAGAATGAAAGGGATGAGGGTTAAGAAATGATAAAAAAGGAGGAAAGGGCGAGGAGGACCTCTGGCTGCAGCTTTCTCCTTTTCTTTTCTTTTTCTGCGTGGGAGTTCCGTGTGGCTGGATGCGGGAGGTGAAGCCATAGAAGATGGGGATCGTTGCTGCGCGTCGCTGCATGGTGAAGCGAAAATGTGGCTCAAGACGTTGTCTTATTGATGCAACGATTTTTCTTGTTGTTGCTGCCTCCTAGTTTCTTTGTTGTTGTTGTTGTGTTTTTTTGCTTTGTTTCTGCAGACGCGCAAAACTTGTAAGGCAGTGGTGGAAGAAACGGAAGAAGAAAAAAAAAAGCGGGGGAAGAGCAATATTGAGCACAAGGGGCTGCTTTTTTCCATTTGCCTTCTTCCTTCTGTTTTTGCATTTGTTGTAGACACGACGTACGAGAAGGTTTCATACTTTTTTGCTTTGCGTGGGGTGCACTGACAGAATGGTTTTCCCCGAAACATTTGGAGGTGATCCTATCGTTATCGACGAGCACTGCGCCATCTCCTTTGTGCCGCAGGCGCGGGGTTATTTTCTTGCGGTTGCCTGCAATACCTCGCAGCGACGCGTCAAAGTACGCATGGACCTGACACTCTCCACACGCTACTGTGTCTTCTTGCCAGTGGTGGGGACTGTTCACGTGGGGCCAATGATGATTGAAGCCACCATTGCACCGTATCGGGTGCGCAACGTTGGCTTAGTGGGTCCAGAGAAGGGTGCACTACCGATGCCACTTGAGCAGCTATTGGTGTGCTTGAATTACGACATGCATGTTTTTATTGAGGAGGAAACGGGCGTTATGTTGCCTGTGACGAAGTGGAAGAAGGGAACGAAAGCAACATCCACAGATCCTATGCCATGTACGTTGTTACCGTCAACCTTGGCGGGTGCGTGGCCCAGTTGGTTGTCACATCTGCGGGTGCATGAATTTACGGTATGTAAGCGAGATGTGACTTTGGCGGCCCAAGGTGGGGATGAAGGCCAAGCGAATAAGGTGCTGGTCCAGATCGACGAGATCGCTGGCGGTTTGGCATACCTTCTTAGCGCTGTAAACAAAGGGCGTACACCGCGCCGTGTTCTGCACAAGTATTCATGTGAAGGAAAAGGTGCACCTTCTGTTTGTTTTGTGCCAATGGACGGCCGTGAGTGTGAGGACGCTACCACGATTACGGGGTATGTGCCTGGTGGAGGCGATGTTGCCCTCGGGTGGGTGGTAAGGCTGGATGCAGAGACATCACCTAGCTGCGATCTATTACTCTCTTTGCAGGCCTGGACGGCCACCGCTTGCAGTCCTGCCTCGACGGATGTCATGCATCCACAGGGTGGGAAGGATAGTACACCGATCAAATCAACTCCCATAACGCGAATCACCTCTGTGTCCACTAGAACATTTATGAACTCTCAGCGGAGATCCGGTTCTGGGGCTGCTAAGGGTGGTGTCTTATTGGACTCTTCGCCGCTGGTTTTTTTTTTGGGGCATGCTACCGTTGAAAGTTTATCCCCGCCGAAATCCTTGCCGTCTTCCACAAACGCACGTGCGTCAATTACCACAACGGAAAATGCGAACCAAGCAACAGATTCAGTTACATTCATGTCGCCACAAGAGATAGCTAAGAGGAAGGGTTTGGCAAGGCAGCAGATTTCACTGCTAGGCAACATCTCTGGTAATGGGGTTCAGACGCCGGAGAGGAGGGAGGTGGGGAGATTGCCTGCAGTTCACGAGCGGGAGGAGAAGTCGGAGGATAATAATGGGGCTGGAAATGAGTCACATTTAGGTACTGGGCATGGGGATCGCACATGCGTTCTCGAGGGGCATTATGTGCCTCATTTGAGACGAGGAAAAAGACAAGTTTATTCTGACATTAAACCCCAGATGGAGACGGAACTTGAACGTTCCACGGCGTCATTGGGGGTAGCGCACACCTGCCGGGAAAGAGTGGCTGGAGCCACAGAAGAGGAAACGGCATCTACTTTCACGGCATGCGTGAGTCACGCACTGCGGCATCTGGACTGCGAGGAGGCACTGAAGAGGATTTCTATAGAAACGGCTGAGGCGACAGCGTGGAAAGTTTGCCTGTTAGAGTGGCAGCAGCCGCTCTGCATCATTTGCGCCAATCCCATCCCCTCCTGGGCACTGTTTGTTGCGGAACCCTCAACTGGCGAAAAATTCCACTTTATGTGCTATGCAAAGAGGCGGCAGTCACTGCAGCAACAGACGCAGCGCTATTTTAACGATGCAACGCATTGCTCGGCCGATGTATTGATTGGACGGGAGCATTCCACAGAAAGTCTTCTCTGATGAGACTTCGGAACTAAACTCGGGTCTGCGTGCATACAATATATTGTGCAATTATTGTTTCTACTATTTATTTATTTTTCCATTTATTATTATTATTGTTATTATTATTTTTGTTACGGTTTCCCCTTTATGTTTATCGGTTGGTTTTCCTTGTGGTGGCGGTTGCCGTGCCTACTTGTGTCCACGTGGTGATCGAGGCGTATCGTTTTATTGTGTGAGTCCCTTCCCACGCACAACTGCAACTCGATGTATGCATGTGTAGCGGTCATGCAATGTGTTGCTTGCACTGCTGCGTTTGCTGTATAATTCTTTGCGGTTTCTTGCTATTCCGTTTTTATTTTATTTTTGACGCGTGGTGGTGCTGGCGGCGCTGCTCCTGCAGCTGCTTTTGAGGACCTGGTCGGGTAAGAATAAGCGAAAAAGAAGACAAGGGAAGAGAGCCCTGCCGACATCATACACCCGCACACAAGCACACGAAATCACAGCAGCAACAGCAAAAGGTCCTTACCGGGCGAACTTCTTTGACGGCCAGGAAAAATGTCAATTCCTCATGGTATGCTGGTTTACAATAATGATATTACAGCCGATAGCTTGGTCGACACCAAGGGGACTCGCAAGATAACGGAGGAAATCTCAAGCAAAATGCCGAATTCTTCACTGTTTAAACTGGATAAGGAGGATCACACATTAGCCAACCTTCTTCGCATGAAGCTGCATGAAGATGCGCTGGTTCATATTGCGGGCTACCGTGTGCCTCACCCAACGCAGCACCGCGTGGAGCTGCGCGTGCAGACTTCATCGGATGGCTCGACTCGCCCAATTCCTTCACCGAAGGATGCCTTGTTGGAGGCAATTGATTCATGCATGCGGGACCTTCAAAACTTTGAAGAACAACTTCGCTGGGAAGCTCAATCGAAGGGTCTGCATGCGGAGTGAAATTTGGCGTTTTGAAAAAGAAACAAATTGGTGTGTTTTTTGTTTTTGCTTTGGTTTCTTGTCTTGTTATCATATCATTGTCAATATTTGGCTTTGATTTCATTTTATTTGTGGTATTGTGAATTTTGCTGATGTCCTTGCCACGTATTGTTTTTTTTTTGCTTGTTTTTTTTTAGTTGTTGTCTTGGCATTTTGTTTTGTTTATATAGTTGTGTGTAGGTGGTTGAGTAGTCGTGCAAAGAGACTGCAGATACCTTCTTTTTTTTTTTGTTTGGTTTGCCTTCTACGGCCTTGCTGTTGGGAGGTCTAATTTGTGTCGACTGTGTTGCACTTAGTCAAACATGAATGCTGGAGAAGAAATGAAAATAGGTGACAATAATGCTGCAACGCCTCAAACGGCGCAGTCCTATGTAGCGAGAGAAGAGCACGCAGGTTCCACTGGGGCTGGGCGCACTTCAGTCTTGATGACAAACCCAATAAGCATTGCCTTGATGACTCTGTGGGCCTTTTCCTGCGAGGGAGCGCTGCTGCTCAATATATTGGGCGACGTGTTTCAGAGTCAAGCTCCTGCGTTCCCACTGATGTCCACGATCACCACGAGCTTTGGGCTGAATGTACTATGCGCTATTATCACCGTTTTTCTTGGGCGACTGTCGCTCAAAGGATTTAAGTTTTACCAACCCTTTGCCGGGGGTCAGTCCTTTGTGGTGATGCAGGGATTTGGATATTGTATACTGGTCGTTACAAGTATCCTTCTGTTTGTGTATGTGGAGCAGATTCGGACTCCCTCAGCCGTTTTCCGTTATGGAATGTTGACTGTCTTGGGTTGCTTTAGCGCGTTGGCGAGCATTACGCTGATGACGTCCTTGTTGTTTTTTGTACCGACACTACATCAGGGAGAGAGTGGTGCAAAAAAACGTTCTGCATCAAAGAATGAGGCGTCTGCGTGGTGGCACAACCTCTCCGCGTCCCCAAATGGTGAAATTGTAATTGTTGTGTCATTTTGCGTCGTACTTCTTGTGTGTACTTCTCTTGCAGAGTATTACCCGGACATGCGTCGTATCAGCTCCATCATTACCGCAGTGCTCCTGTCCCTTGGCCTTTTTATTGTCCACATAATTGTCGGTTACACATGCACCCCGGGATATCGTCTTTTTATGCCGAATGCGGGTACTCTCAGAATGAGTTTGATGCAGGCCTTTGGTTGGTTTCTTGCGATTTCAACTTTACATTTAGATATGTTTCTCTATAAGACAGGTCCTGGTGCATCGTCATCATTGCATATATTGGCTGGATTGAGTTCAGTAATTAGCTTGAGCACACTGCTGTTGTTTATACGCCTGCATCGCTTTCCAGATTTTGCACAAAGTGAGATGTCTGTGGTTGGCGAATACGGTCCCATGGTTTTGACAGTGACGAGTGCCATTCATGCCGCTGTGGTGTGGGGCTTAGCACTCATTCTCTCCTCCAATGCTTACAATGAGGAGCCACAGCTGCGTCAAGGGCTTGTGATGTGTCAGACCCTCTCCTCTTTGATTACCTTTGCACTTCCGCCCTGCACCCATCTATTGGGCCGCGTCGCATTTGGCAGGGAGTATGAGGTCTGGATGCCCTTTAAGGGGCCGCTGGAGTTTGTGGTGTTGCAAAGTGCCGGTTGGACGTGTTATGGGGTGGCAATTTTCTTTGCGACGCTTCAGATTACTGAGAACCTTCATTTTCGCTTCGCCATTATTGAGTCCTCGCTTACGGCACTTTCACAGGGATTTATTCATGTCTCGTTGCACCTGTTTGATGAGGGGCGTAAAGACAGCAAGGCGAGGATGGAGGGCTTGCCGGACTCTTTGCTCAGGAGCAATAAGGTGGTTGCCGACGACAATGACATGGAGGACGCGGAGCCTTCGTTGTATGAGTTGGGTGGTTCACTCGTCACGACAGTGCTAAATGGGGAGATGTTAACCTCCATTTTGCTTTCTACGATTGGACTCATCATTCGGTTGGTGGCCGATGTCGCAGTGGAAAGTGGAAACGCTTTAGATGAGGTGGTGCATATTCCGACGGAGTCGCTTCTCAATGTGTCAACCATCATCTCGATTCTTGTAGTGCCCATAGCCCATATTTCTATGCGAGAGCGTATTTCGGTGTGGTGTCCATTTGTGGGTTGCGGCGGCTATGTAGCAATGCAATCGATTGGCTGGTCAATCTACGCGATTAATCTGTTTGTTGCTATTGCCAACGCTCTCAGCGAGAAGCGGCAAAGTCTGCTGTTGTCCAAGGAGGAAGGCCATTTATTTCTGGGGTACACCGTGGAGGGTTTGATTGTGACAATTCCGCTTGCCTGCATTATTATTGGGGCCTTTTTTGAGACGCAGGAGCAAAGCAGCAGGAAGGGGATTCAGGAACGCAAAAAAAAGGAGGTGCTTGAACTATTTCGTGTTTTGAAACGTGCAATCCCCGACGAGGAGGAGTTACACCATGCCGAGGCACTACTGAAGGCCATTGCAGGTCCACGATGGGTGGAGCCACCTGCAACAGATGGGGCGCGACTGATTCGAGAGGCGGAAGAGACGGCAGATGCAAGGCAGGAGGCAGCCACCCATATTGTGACTATTCTGAGCGTTACGAGCGCATTGGCGTTTATTTCAGCCGCCTTTTTGGAAGAACGTCAGCCTGTTTTTACCCTTGTTTTTGGTGCTGCCGGTATAGTGGTGACGACGATTTCTTGCTTTTCTGTGCATTATATATACGGCACCTTCCTGCATCGTGCATCAGGTCAATACTCCTTTTTTATGCCGTTTTCAGGTGGTCCCACGTTTGTGACACTTCAAGCGGTTGGCTGGGGGTTCTACACCGTGTCCGCCTTGTTGATCGCCCTAAGTTGCGCGGAGGGTCGCGGCTCCGCGATTATGTTTGTCACCACTGGCATCTTCAGCGTCAGTGCACAGTACTGCATTCTAAATTCGGTACCACGGTTTGACCCAACCCCGCGTCCCGCATCCGTGCTGGAGCTTAACGCGGAAGGCATTGTTGCCGTGCTGGCGCTGATCGGTTCCTTTGCCTTCGCGATGGTGTATGACCTCTACGCGCAAGGCCGTGTTTCGGGGATGACATCATCGCTCCTTCCTATCACCGTCTCTGCAGTCTCTACATGTTTTGCTGTTCCACTGGGTCTAGTGTCGCTCAAACGTAATGCGGACACGTATTCCATTTCGGTCTTTGGTATCTTTGGCAATTCCATTGACTCCAGCGAGAGTGAAGATGAGTTTAATAGCACGACTTCACAGAGAGGTGGTGCTTTGGTGACGCCGTCCAGTGACACGGGGCATCGCCGACAAGTAAGCGAGATGAGTAGTGAAGACGGTAGAGTGTACTATTTGCAACACGTATCCCCATTACTGAGTGAGTCCATGCAGACCTCCCAGGTGCGTCAAAGGGGTGGCCTGCGTGGTTCCGTATACATGGCATGCTTTATGGTGGCCACCACTTCCGCAATTTTGGCATCAACCCTTATTCCATTAGCTCTTGCCTACATTGTTTACTGCAATGCGTACAGTGGCTTGGAGGCGGTTACCGCCGCCTCGGCGTCTCTTCGCTTTTTATTAATTGGCTTTGGAGTGGCTGTACTTGTTCCTGTGTTTGCCCCTGGAAAGGGGCCAGATTCACGTAAAAGCTTGTGGCGTCGTTTTTATTCGGCACTCTGCTGTTACGGCCTTTATTCTATACCAACAATGGTGGTGGTGGGTTCTTTAGGGCTTCCATTGGTGATAGATACATCAGGAACGCGCGCTTTTGCTACGAGTATGCTTGTCGTGTCGTGTCTGTCAACAATTCCACATATTCATCTGATTTCAATGCTGGCGAATGTCTCTCTTCTTGGCTATTTTTGGCATTATCACCTGTACACATGTTTGGTGGTGGGGTCGGAGGTGTTCATGCCATGGAAGTTTGTTTTGGACACTTTATTGACGGCATTTTGGCCGTTGTATTTCCACCGCTTCCTTGGACAGCCTCATGTTACGGGGCGTTTGTACAGTCCAAGGGCAAAGCGATTTTGGAGTCGATGGGTGTACTCTGCTGTGGCGAACTACTTTGGTCTTCGCGTCCTTGTTGACGAGGATGAGTCGAGACAAGGGGAGCAGCAGCACCACACACCCGGCGAGCGCGTTAACTTGAACAATCCAGAAAACAAGTACCTCTTCTCTTTTCACCCACATGGCGTATTCCCTGGCACAGTGATGTGGGCAACAAACACGCGTCAATGGGCGAAGGCTGTGGGATGCAACACGGAGAACTTTCTCTCGGTGCATTGTGCTGATGTTCTTTTTGCTGTTCCCATGATGCGAGACTTTGTGTTGTCCATGGGAGGTATGACGGTGGCGCGTAGGGGTATTGAGTGTAGTCTCTTGCAGGGTAACAGCGTGGTTGTAGTGACAGGGGGACAGGCTGAGATGCTCTACAGCAAATATAGCCGCAAAGAAATGCATCTGGTAACGCACCATAGTGGATTTGTGCGCATGGCAATGACGCATCGAGTGCCACTTGTACCCATTATCAGCTTTGCAGAAAACAATGTTCTGAGCAACGTGAGTTGCTTAGCGCTGCAGCGCTATACGACGGCAAAGGTGGGGTTTCCGTTCCCAACCGTACCCTATGGAAGATGGTACCTGCCGCTGCCCAACCCACTGCCTCTCACGGTCGTGGTGGGTAAACCAATTTTGCCTGAGCCTGGCATGGATGTCCCGGATAACCTGGAGCACGTTCAGCGGTACCAGCAGCGTTACTTTGAGCACCTTGAGGCGCTGTTCCTCAAGTACCGCGCCAAGGCTGGGTACCCGGACATGACACTCGTTCAGCACCACCGCAAGGAGGTTCGCCGGATGTAGGACATGCTTGAAGGCACCTTTGAGCCCACATGGGGAAACAGCGCTGATGAAATACCAACAGAGGTCCATCGTAACGAGCAACGTTGCGGTTGGACGGCCCATTTAAGGATTTTGTAAAAGCTACACACATGAGAGAGTAAAGGAAACATCCAATACGATGATGAAGGCGGACTTATGTCTTTATAGGAGGTGTTTTTTTTTTTGCTTACTTGCTTTTCTTTTTTTGAGTCCTATGTGTCGGCCCGTATTGGTGTTTAGCCCGCCTTGTAGTGCGCCTTTTGGAAGGAATTAGTATGGAAGGCTATAAGACCCAATAGGGGAAGGCGGCGCGCATTGTTTAACTCTCCTGTTTTATTTCTTGATCACTTGACTTGACTTGTCAAAGCTACCGTGTTGTAAGGTGGTGGATGTGTGCGCTTTATTTCTTTTTGCTGCGTCTTCGTCGTTTCACCCCAACACCCCTTTCTACTACCCTCCTTGCGGGGAGGGGGCGGCTGTTGCGGGACCCCCAAAGATCGCCACAGTTTGAGCTTTGTGACAAGAGTCCAGCTATTGTAGAGCCTTTTTTTTTTTCCTTAAGGCTTTTTGTTTGTTTGAATTAATTTGTCTGTGGGTTTGGGTGAGTGTGACATGTCGTCTACCACCAAACGGGAGATGTTTGGGAGTACATTAAGCCAAACTTCTATCTTTATTTTGCCCTATTTTTCCTTTGGAGTGGGCTGGAAACGACCTTAGCCAGGCGAATTTTCTCTCTTTTTATCTTTATCCCTGATGTTTTTTGTGATAGTTTGTGTAGGCAGCAAGTTTGCCGAAAGGAGAAACTGGCCCGGCACCAAAATTGTAAACAGGTATGTGTGTAATGAGGGATTTTTCTGGGGACGCTGAGAATGCATCTATAGAGTACTGTATGGGTGTAAGAGAGAGAGAGAGAGAGAGAGAAGAAAAACCAAAACAAAAGAACAAAAAAAAAAAGGTACGACTAGACTACGTTTTTTTTTACCTATATATTGTCTTTCTCTTCTTACTATATATATATATATATATATATATATATAT